CGGCCTGCTTCGCTCCTCTATTACACGGAATCAAAAGTTTCTCCGAGACTCGATGGTTCTCTTTTGCCAAAGTCTGTCTGTCTGTTCAATCACACGAACTCGAGTTTTCGAAAATGTGTCGAGACTTCGATCGATCGATCAACCGATGCGCCTTCAATGAAGAAGAGTATCAGGGACATCGTTTTCAATCGTCTTCACTTTGCTTCAAATGATGTCTTAGTCCGAGTACTCCAGCCAGTTGTTGATACAATTGCAAAATTAGAACGCGCGAATACTACCGTTGGTGAAGTTTGGAGCGAGGTGATTGTGTTGTACATGAAGCTCAAAGATATGAAAGTTGAATCTCAATATTCAACTTTCAAGTCTCACTGTATTCAAATAATCAACAAGCGATGCAAAGTCTTTGACGAACCGGCCTACATCCTTGGATTTTTCCTGACACCTCAGTTTCGTCAAATCGCTGCGTCTCAAAAATACGATATCAATTACTTCACGCGAGCTATTGTCAAAATTGCAAAAGTTTGGAAGTTCAAACAGATTGAATGTAAAAACCTGATCACACAAGTCTTACAATACTACAACTCCAAGGGTCCATTTCGTATACCTCCAGATGGCAAGTTGTGATTTCTCATTATCATATCGGATGTGATAATGTAACTAATCTTGATTATTGTTTAGGTTCATCTGCCATGAATTACTGGTTGAAGGTACCAGCTAATCCACAGACTCAAGAGCTCAAGTCGTTCACCATCAAGCTCTTAGAAATTGTACCCCACGCTGCGGGTGTTGAAAGCCTCTTTTCGCGGATGGGTTCTCAAAAGACTAAGTCGCGCGCTCGAATGGATGTCTCAACATTAAAGATGATGTCTCAAATCGAGATGGATCTCGAATCCGAGCAACCGAATCGTGTGGCCAAATCGATCAACATCAACGATCAAACTGCTGCTGCTGATGATTCACAAGATCTAGATCCTCAATTTGAAGATCTTGATCAGGTTCAAGAGTTTGAAAATGGAATTCATGGTGAAGATGAGGTGGATCAGGGAGAAGAGCGAGAGGATATTACTGAGAGTGGTTTTATAGACACTCTCTTTGATTTAACATTATTCAATATTAGATTTGAAGCAGAACAAGCTGTTACTATTGTTTTAGATGAGGGATCTGACAATGAAGATTGGGATGAGGAGAATCTTTTCAATGGTTTACTTCAATGAATGTTCATGAGGTGTACAGCAGAACTGTTATGAAATACAAAAAAGTCCTTTCTGATGTTGTTGAGCGGGTTTTTTTGCCTTTTTTTGATTTTTGGGGGGATTTTGACACCTCAGAGGCACGCCTCTGCGCCCCCACTATAGGCGTGCCTTTGGAACAGTCAAAATCCGCGCCTGGGCCTGCCCAAAATTCAAAACCCGCGCCCACCACGTGAATGTTGGCCCAGGGAAGGGTAATTGTGCTTTGATAATACTGTAAGAGACCTCACTTCCCTCAAGATCACTAAGAAAACAACTTACTAGGTACCTTGGCTTAAGCAAAGAAGATAATAGCTGATAATAGATCATAATTGAGACATCAAGTTGAATTTCAATTGAGTAGGCAAGACTTATATCAGATTCAACAAGTCAAGTACCAATGTGAATAAAAATGTTCAAATTTGGGCTATCATTTCATATTCAAATAACAATCAAATGGAAACCAGATATGATAAATTCATCAGATATTTATATACCATTTTGGTTGATTCCCTTTTTTTGTTTCCATGGTACAAAATCACAAAAATTAATAACAAAAGTATTATAAACAATCAGATCAGGGTTTGAAAAAGTATGATCTAAGTTAGATTGAAAGGACGTGAGAGAATCATCAAGATGTAAAGCATATCCAGGTTTCAAAAAACGTATACAAGTTGTATAAAAGGCCAATCATTAAGGTTGGCATATCCAAAAACCAAGATTGTGAAGATGAGATGAAGTAATAACATGACCACGCCTCAATGCAATAATCGGAATTGCGCGATAGAGATAGAGAAGAAGCGCAGAACGCAGTTTGAAGTAGCCAAGGTCCATTTTCTCACTGGCGTTAACATTGAGTCCAGGAGCAGCACGGGTGAAACAGTTCTCGGCCTGAAGGTGACAGCCCACGTGTCACAGGATTTTATTGGATGCGATCAGCGGCATCGATTAAGGACGAGGATGAGGTAACGGTCCTAATCCGGTAGTGAGACTAGGGTCCCAATTTTGTCGCCCGATAGATTCCATCCATACGTGGTGCAACAAAGCTTGATTCATCAAGACACCGCCTGGAATCTGCAAGCAAGAGAATGAAAACAGTCAGGGGCGAATTAGATATCTTATCTTGAGCTTGAGCTTGAGCTTGATAGAAGCGTGAGAAGTTTGTGATGTAAACACGAACCTGCTGTGGATGAACTTTGTCTTGATATTTTTGATATCCCTCCCAAATCTTGCCCCAATCGAAAATGGGTAGACCTTCATTGCGAGCGACCTCATCTTGCATTTGCTGAAGCTGGTGTACTCGACTGAGAATTGAGCAGCGAAGGGTTGGATTAGTAAGCCCCCGTGACGATTTATGAATAGGGTAAGCGAGGACTTACACATCTGAGAAGAAATTCACAAATCCAGGGCCCATCCCGTGTTTAAGACCCGGACTCCAATCGTGGCTAGCCCAATATTGATCCCCAACACGATGAGTCTTTCGAATCCAGATGGGTGTATTGGGCCAATGTACTTTGAGAGTTCGGATTACACTCCTCATTCGGTTCTGCCACCAGTCAAGTTGGACAGCTGTCAAAGGGGCCTCTGTGGTCATATTGGCCTCTCTGTTTCGGCGTCCAAAGAATGCAAGGTCCCAAAGCCCTGATTGAAGCGAAATAACGCCGGGGCTTCCTTAGCTTCTGCAGCGAACTGATCTATC